GCGCTTGTCTCATACATGTGAGGCACTGAGTTCGATCCTCAGCACCACATAAAAATAAAAGATTAAAAAAAAAAAAAAGATGAAGAGGGGCTGGGATTGTGGCTCAGCGGTAGAGCTCTTGCCTAGCAGGGGCAGGGCCCGGGTTCGATCCTCAGCACCACATAAAAATAAAGGCGTTGTATTGTGTCCATCTACACCTAAAAATTAAATACTTTTTTTAAAAAAGAAGAAAACGAGTAAATCTTTTTTTAAGAAAAAGATATGGCACAAAGCAAAATTTTCGTAGTCTTAGAAAATGAGATCTTTTCACATTGGGGAAATGGCAAGTGATTTAATCCTGAATTTATATTCAAACTCTGCTGGTTACTGGGCAATGCAAGCTTAAGCAAGTTACTTAAGCTCTTTTAAGTTTGGTGTCTTCATCTGTATAATGGGTCTGATAATGCCTATAAAAGAGAGTTGTGAAGATTGAACGTGGTATGTTATCTAAAGACACAGGATACGCTATAGTTCTCACTGTGGTACCTAAAACTAAATGAGCAAGCAGAGACAATCACAGGTGTTTGTTTGTGGTGCTGCTGGGGATAGAACCAGGCCTTTTTCCTTGCTAGGCAAGCTCTCTACCAGGGACCTACACTCCAAGCTCATCACTTGTTTTTTTAGGGAAGAAAGCTAGATGTAAATTTGAAAGTGCTTCTGCAGAAAAATCATTGGCATTTAAGATATTTATAATATACTAATACCATTTATGAATGTTGTCAGTTTAGTTGGAAGCATATGTTTTTGCTCAAAATTTACCAGCCTGGAGGTTCTGGATTAAGTTAAGCCTATATCATTAAAATAATACTTGATATCTGTTTTCTCCTTTAATCTCATGAGCAATGTGTTTACTCTAACAGCAGTCCATTCTGAATGTTTTCCTTATCCTATTAGGAATTACTATTCCAGTAGAGTTGCAAAATAATTTTGTTTTTATAACCAGTTCATTCTGAAAATGCTGCTTAAGGTGGTCATTGATTATTGAGGGCAAGTTTATTTGCAAATATGGAGGACTCAGCCAAATGGATTTTTTAAAGCTCTGCATTTATTCATAAAGTTCCACCAGTAACAATTACATTAATTATGGCACAGACATCCTTTTTGTTCTCAATAGAAGGGTTTAGCATATTTTGTTTGGGTAGGAAACAGTTTGCTAATTGAAATGAGAAATTAAATTTAGTTTTAAAGCTGTTTTTGAGCTTTTTAAGATTCTTCATCTGTCTCAGCATGCATAAAGTGGTAGGTTCAATCCCCAGCCCTACAAAAATCAATCTATTTTATCTTTTAATATTGACATTATGGTAACAACAGCAAAAGAAAACAAAATATTTTTTAAATTTTATTTTGAGACAAGTTTTCATTAAGTTGCCCAGGCTGTCCTCAAATTTGCAATGCTCCTGCCTCAGCCTCCTGAATAGGTGGGATTATAGGCATGTACCACCAAGCCTGGTTTAAAATTTTTTTTTCAGGAATAATTTGGAGGAGACACATTGCAGTGCGTCCTAAATCAATATTTTATTTTCTTTAGAAAATCTTGGCATACTTTAGTGACACCGTAAGCCGAGACCATGACCTTGTTTGGGCTTACTTGCCCTTTGACCATGGAAATAAGGCAGCCCACCAAAGTAGTTTCTTGCTCTGTCCCAATGGAACAAATAGGAGTTGTGTGTGATGGTAGGTCTAAGACCTCTGTCCTAGGCTCTTGCAAAAAATGAAAAAGGACAAATCCTGTCATACCTCCTGATTTTTCTAAGAGTTTCCAGGTTGGTGGACACCTTTTTGCCTCAAGTTGGTCCCATCCTTCTTTGTTCTTCATCTATAAGACCAGAAAACAGTTAGGGGGGAAAAAACACCCTAGAGAATATCCCTGAAAAGAGCACCCTTCTTCACTTAGGACAGCTGGGACAGGCCCTCCTGAAACAAAAGATTTTTATAGGATTTTTTAAAAAAGAAAATATGTGGTTAGATTTTTAACGAAGAATCAACGGATGACAGGAAGGACAAGTCAAAACTAAATGTTGATTCATCCCACACAACTCACAACTGTAATTTCTCATACTCTGCCTCTTTCCTCTTTAAAAAAAGTTGCCCAAGTTCATTGCTGCCCATATAGTGAATAAGGTGGGATAGCCTGATCAGGCTTCCAGAGCAAAACACCCCACAAATTGAGCAGAGCTAAGGTAGGGACTGAGCAGCTGCTGCATCAGGCCAGCTCTGGGTCCAGGTGGCACATTCTGTGCTTTTCCAGAGGACTTTAAGAGCTTTTCTTAGTCTGTCAATATCCATTTATTCATACTTACAATATTGTTTTACTTATGGTTTGTGCTTATTTCTTGCTTTTATGGATTCAAAATTCATATCAGAAAGATACAATTAACAGTAATACCACACCTTAGAACTATTTTTAATCTGAAAAAACAAATTTTTTTTCAAAGTTAAAAGAGCACCTTAAAAGCTCCCAGAATGGAGGGAATGGTCAAGCCCTTGCTTAGCATGGATGAAGCCCTGGATTCAGTCCCGAGCACTACTCAAAACAAAAAACTGTTCTGTTGCCTGGTTCAGTAGTAGGTGATTGTAGTTCTAGCCACACAAGAAATTGAGGCAGGAGGATCACTTGAGCCCCAAAATTGAAGATTAGCTCAGGTAACATAGCCAAGACCCCTATTTCAAAAGCACAACAAACAAATTCCATCAATATATACAACTATAATGCATCAATTTAAAAATGTGAAGGGAAAAAAAAGCACAACAAAACAAAAACTCCCACAGTAGGTAAATTCACTTTTGGTAAATGTACATATTTATTTTATGGGAAAATAGGTATTAAATGACTCTGTGAGTCCCCTCTACCTTTTTTTTTTTTTTTTTTCCAAACTGGGGATTCAACCCAGGGGCTCTTTACCACTGAATTACATGCCCAGTCCTTTTAATTTTTTTTTTTTGAGACAGGGCCTTGCTAAGTTGCCAAGGCTGGCCTTAAATGTGGGATTCTCCTGCCTTTGTTTCCCAAGTTGCTGGCATTATGGATATGTACCACCATGCCCAACTTCAATGATACATCTTTAGTACCAATGTATTAATTTAAATTAATTTCTATTTTCCATCCCTTGCTCTTTAGAAAGATTCCTCTTCAGAATTTCTTCCCTCTCAGTTTCAGCACGATGCTTATAAAATAATTTTTCTTTGTTTATGAAGCTCTTTTTTTTCTAGAGAGAGAGAGAGAGAGAATTTTTTAATATTTATTTTTTTTTTAGTTTTCGGTGGACACAACATCTTTGTTTGTATGTGGTGCTGAGGATCGAACCCGGGCCGCACGCATGTCAGGCGAGCCGCTTGAGCCACATCCCCAGCCCTGAAGGAGCTCTTTAATATTGTTTCTTTGTAAAGAAAGATTGGAGACTTTGTGCGTGTCAGCGGGAGGGAGATGGAACCCCAGGCCTTTCACATGCTAGAGCTAGCTACATCCTCAGCCCTATAAAGAAAGATTTTAAAGACTATTCCTAATGTCACTAAAGTATTTTAGGTTTCTCAGAACCAAGACAAATGAAATATATATCTCCTATAAAAAGAATAAATTGCTGAATATTGATTTTTTTTTTTTGACATTATGGTTTCCATAGATCCATGTTCAGAAAAGCTTGTAGAAGACTATCTGGAGTTATTTACCCCTAAAAGCCCTGAGTTATAAAAAGACCTAATACAATCATTAACGTTTATGCATAGCACATTATCAGAGATTGCTGGCTAGAGCTGGAAATCATATTAAGTGTTTTATGGCATTGATCAGATAAATGACATGACAGGCAGTCCTCAGCTTACAGTGATCTGATACCAGCAAGTTGCTGACATCCACAGTGTTAGGCCCACAATGGCCACCTAAGTCATCACCTGTAGCTCAGAACAAGCAGGTAACTCACAAGTCAACTTCTGTGGATGAGTCTGCTGCCTAGGAGTCCATGTGAAGGCCTTCTGCCTCCCAGCCTGGCCTTTCCTACTGATCCTCTTCTCTCTCACTGCATCTTGGAGTTTTTAGTTCCTAAATGGCAAGGGTTTTTGTTTTTGTTTTTAAATAAGAAATAGAACATAAGCAGGAGAGAGGTAGCCCAAGTGAAAACTAGAAGGCAACATAGAAAAGGGTAGTGGTGGGGACCTGAAGATGTGTTGGGATACTTTTCCCATGAAGGGACAAATTGTGAATATTTTAGACTTAATGGTCTGATGTAACTACCTTTCTGCCATTATATCCCCAGAACAGCCATGGGCAATATGTAGATGAGGGGCTGGGCTGGATTCCAGTTAAATTTATTTATAAAAATACACAATGATTCTCTGGCCTGCTGGCCATAGTTTGCCAACCTCTGTATATAAAATAATATATCCATGTTAGACTGGCTCTGAGGGAAGTTCTAGAGATGTCCCTAATATGTTTTGAATATAGAGCTTTATTTTAGTAAATAGATACTTTCTCAGAGGAATTGAAGATAAATCTCATTTGATGTTAAAAGCTTGGTGTTGGATACTTTCTAAGTCTCATGTGTTTATTTCTTAAAAATTACTGATGAATGAAAAGAGCTGTGATGGAGTTTAAGCATCCAGTGTAAAGCAAAACCAGCATTAAGCAACCAGGGCTGTAAGTGATCATGTACAGATAACTTAAGGGGAAGTTAAACTACAAAGCAAGGTAGTTAATGGAGTTCTTGAGGTCTCCTGCTGGTTCCTGGAGTCAGTTCCAGGTCAGGAAGAGGAGTCAGGGGTTTGGACTTATGTGTTTGTCAGCTGCCTGCATGGAATTGAAAATTTTTTTTCTGTTATATGTTGATTATGATTTTTCCCATAAGAATTGGATATACCTGAATAAAAATTCAAATATCTGTTGAATTGAATTAGCCTTTTTACAACATGTAAAATATTGCTGACATATCCCACCTTAATATAACAAATCATTCTTTGATCTTTGGCAGGTTGTTCCTGCTGAAGGGTTGGTCTCTATATTAAAGAAAAGGAATGATACTGTAGGAGATCATCCTGCCCAAATGCAGCAGAAATCATCTAAGAGAAGAGTGAGATTCCAAGAAATAGATGATAACTTGGATCCAGGTAAACTGCTGAGCCCTTTTCTTTTTAATAGTTTTAGTTGTAGATAGACATAATACTTTTATTTTGTTTACTTATATGTGGTGCTAAGGATCAAACCCAATGCCTCACATGTGCTAGGCAAGCACTCTACCACTGCTACACCCCTAGCCCTTGCTGAGCACTTTTCTAATGCTGTTAACAGTCAGTGTTTGCTGGAAGAATCAATTGTTATATGATGTGATGTTTGCTGACAGAATAGGTAAAAGAATATATGAACTTAGTTGCTTTATCTGCTAAGAAGGAAAAATATAAAATATACATTCAAACCATCATCATAAATTATTTAGAAGCATTTTGCTCAAATGAGTGAGCAAGTTAAGAAGTTCAATTCATGGTTTCCCTGTTCCATAGATAATCCACCATATTGAGACTTCATTTCAATTTCTTTCTTTAGCATTTTTTTTTTTACAAAACAAGTTTGCCAATTAATATTCAATAGCCAATTAATATTCCTCCTTAATTGTGAAAAATATTTATGAATCACGAGTATGTTCTTTTCAGCAATTCCTTCTTCACTTTGTAGAAAATAGTGTCTCCCAAGAGCAACAATTTAACACTGTTACTATGGTTTGATTTTTTTCCCTCCTGGGCTTATGCTTAAGGTGGTTGCCCTAGCAAACAGTGCTATCTTTTGAGGTTTCAAATAGGCTTACCTGAAACACAGATAAATAAGAGTGGAAAAATGGCCAAGAACCTTTAAACTCTTAACAACTATAAAGCTTGTAGGGGCCTTGAAATAATTTTTTCTAACCCCTCACTTGCACCTTGCTTTTCACTGTCAAGATCTTCTCCATGTAAAGTGCTTGGTTCTGTTTGTGCTAATTTATACTAAATCTGCTTAGTAGGAGGAACCTGGATTTGTAGATCTCAGTTCCTATTTCACTTACTAGCCAGACCAAGTCATTTAACTTTGGGAGACTCAGATTCATCATCTTTAAAGATAAAAAAAATAGCATTTGCATCTCTGCCTTTATGAGAACCGAAAAACATCTGACAATGAATATGAAGTCATTTTGACAGTTATGAAAGTTTTGTGTAAATGTTTGATGCTGGTAATGATTTATTCCAAAGCTGTGTAGCTTACATAGTGCTTAGGAATAAGCCTCACCTTCTGCCAAAGCTTCCTGAATGGAAGTTATTCTGCTGAATCAGTTCTTCCACTAAATCATCTCTATTCACTAGAAATATAATGTGAGACTCATGTGATTTTAAATTTTATAATAGCTATGTTTAAATAGTAATCAATTGTAGCCAAGCCTGGTGGCACATACCTATAATCCCAGCTACTGGGGAGGCTGAGATAGGAAGATCACAAGTTTAAAGCCAGCCTTAACAACTTAATGAGATCATGTCTCAATATTTAAAATTAAAAGGATTGGAGAGGACAACTCAGTGGTGGAGCATTGCTGGGTTCAATCCCCATTTCCACTGGGAAAAAAAAAAAGTTTATATTTATTTCAACATGTGAGCAATCTGAAAAAATTGGGTTTTCACTTCTTTTTTTTCACACTGAATTTTCCCAATCTGGTATGCATTTTTTGCACTTGATAGCATATTTGTTCAGACCAGCCACATGTCAAGTTCTCAACAGCCACATGCAGCTCATGACTTTCACATTAGACAGCATGGCTCTAAACTGTTTTAGTACATATAGATAAAACAAACAGAAGAAGTATTTTTAAACACTTAAACTGCTCAGATATTTGTACTGTATATGAATGCAATCATCCTGGTTCCAGGATCCCTGAACAAAATCTGTGGATGTTCAAATCCCTTTCGTAAATGGCATAGTATTTCTATATGACCTATGCTTACCCTCCTGTATACTTTCACTCATCCCTATTACTTATAATATGTAATGCATTGTAAATAGTTGCCATACAGTATTATTTAAGGAATAATGATGAGAAAAAAGTCTGCATATTCAATACAAACTGGTCCCCAACCCCCTGGGATATTTGCCATCTGTGGTTGGTGAATCCACAGATGCAGGACCCACAGATATGGAGGGCTGACTATAAATGATAATGAAGATAAATATGGAAAGATGCATACACATTAAATAAGCGCATGAAAGGAAATTATATTTTAAAAAGAAAGAAAGACAAAGCTCGAACTGACCAAAACTTAAAAAACACAATGTCAATGATATAATTCTACTTTTTAAAAATTTGTATTGAGCTGCAAGTGTTGCTCAGTGGTAGAGCACTTTCCTAGTATGCACAAGGCCCTGGGTTCCATTCCCAGCACTGCCAAGAAAAACTAACAAAAAATGAACTATTTTAAAATGCAAGCTGGACATGATGGCACACACCTGTAATCCCAACAACTTAGGATGCTGAGGCAGGAGGATTGCAAGTTCAAAGCCAGCCTTAGCAATGGTGAGGCACTGAGCAACTCAGACCCTGTCTCTAAATAAAATACGAAATAGGGCTGGGCGTGTGGCTCAATGGTTGAGTGCCCCTGAGTTCAATCCTTGGTACAAAAAAAAAAGCAAAATTAAAAATGCAAATCAAAGAACCATATGATTACGTAATACTATCTGTATAAAAGTTCTAAAATTAGATATATCTGATTTAGAAAGGTGCATACCATATTTAACAGTGTGTAACTCTGAGAAGGGAAGAGAATAGGATTGTAGGAGAAAAAGGGACAGATCCTTAGACTTAGATACTTTATGTTCAAATTTTTATAAGAAGAATATATTCATATATTACTGTAAAATCTTTCATATAAAGTGTATTTTGTATCGTTTAGATTTTATAAAATTTATTTTTCAAGAAATAATATATGCTAATCTTGAATTCAGACAGTAATGAAGTAAAAAGTATGAGTCCCACAACCTTCTTACCCCTTTCCCTAAGTGCTGCTTGGAATTTCTTATCATTCTTTCAAGTCATATTCTGTGTATATATGTGCATATGTGTGTGTACATGTGTCTATATGAGTTCTATATATCCTGCTAGGTAACTTCTTTTTAAAATTTAACCATGAATCTTTTTTTTAAATATTTTTTTTAGTTGTCAGTAGACCTTTATTTTATTTATTTATTTATATGTGGTGCTAAGAATTAAACCCAGTGCCTCACACATGCTAGGCAAGTGTTCTGCCACTGAGGCACAACCCCAGCCCAATGAATCTTGAATATCTTTCTGTGAAAGAACATTTCCTAAATTTACTTCATTCAGCTTAATAATTGTACAATATTCCATTATATAAATATCTCATAATTAAACTATCCCATGTAACATGATTAACCAAGTTATTTGCATCATTCTGCTAAGCAGATTCTGTTACAGTGAACAAATTTGTACATATGTTGTTACGTATTAGGCTCATCTGTGAGCTAATTCCTAAAAGTGGATTTGTTGGACTAATGTTGAGACCATATATCACAGTTGGCCCAAGATAGTCCTGGTTTTTCCCAGGGGTCTCAGCATTGCATTCAGTTAACCCTGTGTCACTCTTAGACATGTCCAGGCTAGAACATAAATTAGTTCTAAATTTTAATAGATACTGCCACTTTATCTCCCAAAAAAGTTTATATTTGCCTTCATTGTGCTGAAGATTTAAAATTATTTAGTCTTCCCAAAATATTTTTAGTTTTCTTTAATTATAAAGATCATTAGGATTTTTCAACCAAAGAATAGTTATTTTCCCCAGTATAGAAAGACCAATGTGGACATTTTTATTAGAAACAAGCCTGCCAAAATTGTTAAGCAAAATAAGAAGAAATTATAACAATTTTTAGAACTTCTCTGTTCCACTAAATAAGAACAAAAATGAGTATGACTAGAATGCAAAGGGGATCCCACCCAAAGACATTTTCATTGTGTTACATAAAATTGACTTTCATTCAAGGTGGTCCCATGACATAAACTTCAAAGACATTGTAATTAAAGCCAAAGTGTATATTCTAAAACAACATCATTACACCATCTGAGGAATATTGCCATTTTTCTTCTTTTTGATGGAAGTTATATTCATTGTACAAATGAGCTGGTTTTAATTTCAGCATTCACAAGCTCCACAAATATGAATCTTTATAGTAACTAATAGGTGGGCCTTTGTAGGGTTTGTAGATGCACGTGTTTTCTGTCTAAAAGCCCTGGCTCTAGAGTTTTAACTACGAAAAATCCTATTATCTTAATCAGGGGAAAGACAGCAGATGCTAAGATTTCCATTGATGACAATTTAACCTCACTCTCTTCTCATGTTTGCAGATGAAGTTGGAGGTGGCTCTTGTATTTTACTGATCTTGCTGTGCATAGCAACAGTTTTCCTTAGTGTTGGAGGAACTGCGTTATACTGCACTTTTGGCGACATGGAGTCACCTGTTTGTACAGACTTTGCAGACAACATGGACTTCTATTACACCAAATTACTCCAGGGAATGGCAGAACTGAAACACTGGATCTACCTCTCCTAGCAACACTCAAGGGGGACAGTCACATTGGCAGTGAGAATGAAAGATGTGAAACTTTCTAAACAGCTTTTATTTCAGAGTTCTGAAACATTCCCCCTAACCCCCAATGAAGACCCAAGAATACCCAAAACAGCAACTTTAAATGGCAATCCAGAGGACATCTGTTAGAATATCTACATAATGAGGTGTTATTGATGTAACCATCATGGATGAAGAAATGATCTTTGGAGAGGTATCCATCTCTTCACTGCTTCTTAGAGCAATGAGGAACACTGAACAGATTATGCTGGGCAGTCTTGTAACCACACTGTTTCTAGCTCCTGTCAAGCTAATGGTTAAAGGACACCTCTGGTTTAGATTTGTTGGTCTACAGGCATTCCTTCTAGCCATCATGCAATAAGTTTGTTTATAATCAGAGTTCCTTATGGTTCCAATGTCATTTTTTAGTTACCCTTGGGAGCTATGTAATTTAGGCCTTTTGTATTATTTCCAGATTCTGCTATCCATTTGTGAAATGGCTCTGTGTGTGTGTGTGTGTGCGCGCGCGCGCGCGCACGCATGTATCTCAAGCAGTTCTCATAAGCAAATATCCAACATAGAGTAACAGAGATTATCTTTATTCTTTTAACTTGACTATGATGTGCAGGCACAAATATTTGAAGAAGGCTTAGCTGTAGAATAGATGAATTGTAGAAATGGTGGCCCTGAAATGAGAAACTGTGACAGATCTGTGGCAATTAAATTGATTGAGTAGCCAGAAATTAATCACAGTCCTGAAGGCAAAATTAAAGAGCTCCCCCTGAGTCTCAGGAACAGTTTGATCACGGACTCAGTGCTTCCTGAAGTGGTGAACGCTGAAATCAACATGATTCAGCAAACACATACTGAGCATCTATTATGTTCTGAGAATCTAAAAAACAGAATATGGACATAAATATAAAATCCCTACTACAGATGTCTTAATTCTGGTCATATAAAGTAAGCCAGTCCTTTGGCGAGTGAAATTAAATCACCATATATAATTCAGTATTAACAGATCATGCATTCAGGTGTTTTAATATGCATTCATATCATGGGCTTGATTTAGACTCTATTGTGGGGTCATTAAGTGAAAATTCAATCATACCTTAAATAGGCAAAAGTATGATTTTTATTTAAATCTGTCAGTTAGGTGGCCTAACATTTAGGAAGCCTTGCTTTGACTTTTTATATCGCAGGCAGCATTTAAAAAACAAAAACATGAATTATAGTTTTTTAGCAAGTGATTATTATTTTCTGTTTTTCCTCTTAGGATCATTTGAAAGAAAAAGGGAGAAATTGCTTTCTAGTTGTTACTGGCTGGTACAGTACTTTCCTTTGTGTTTTTGCTTATTTATTTAGATTATATGAATTTAAAGGGCTTTTTATAAGTTGAAAGTGTGTTGCTAAGCATGCATTTGGTTATCCCAATGCTAGATACTTAATTATTATGTACTAGTGTTTTGATTTTTCTATAATTTCACCTCAGTGTGTTTGGGGGCTTGTTTATTTTTAAACTGATGTTTTGTTTTTACTTGTAATACTGTCTGGCTTGTCTTTATCATGTCACTATAAACTGTAATATTTCGAATGGTTATAGATCAAAGATATTTATTTAGAAGTGTACAAGATACTGAAATTTAGATTCCTTATACTTAAGGCTGATTTTATTAGAAGATTATTTTAATGATGTAATATAAATTTTAAGACTTTGTATTCAAATTGTATATAAAATATGTAATCTGTCCACGGTACTATCTTAAGTGGTTCTATAAAAGCCGCTCACAAGATCTACTGTATGGAGCCTCCTTGTCATAGACAAACCTCTTCTGTGCTACCCTCATAATTTCTAGTTGCAGGAATTTGGTGATCCTTATTTTAGCCAATTTTATGTCAAGAGAAGTCAAAATTTCCCTCCTATTTACCTTTTTAGGTCACCATGAGAGTCCTATATAATCTCTGATGTTATGTTTGCAACCTAGGCCACTTTTTTGAAACCTGGGATTTCCTAGGAACCTTCACATTATAATGAAAAAGTTGAGATAATACCTTGTTAGTCAGGGCTCCCAGTCATGTCTTGAGAAACCACGGATATCTTCACCACTTCCCAGAGGTGGTGAGATGAGCTCAGGAGCTTATCAATATTTTGACTTAAAATAGGCATGAAATCTCACTTAGAAAAAATTAGGGAAACTTTAAAAAATGTAATAGTAAATTATTGCATGAATTGGAGTAATTCCATCCAGTGATGAAAGGATTGTTATATCATGCGTAAAAAGTTTATCCAGTTTTACTGAAATGTAATTTTTCCTCTCATTTGAAAGTACTGATAACTGTTTGTAACTAATCTTCCTTAAGAACTGTATTTGAGGGTATCACATTGGGCTTGTAATTTAAAATCTACACCAATGAAGTGTCTCAGAGAATTTATTTGAATCCTTGGATGTTCAGGAAAGCTGCTTTAAAGCAAGAAAAGTAATTTCAGGAATTGGTCTGACCCACCGATATTTGGGGAAGTCTAATCACCCCCTAAGTAAAGGTTCCTCTGCTTCTAAAACGCCTCCCCCATCTGCCTGACACAGTAGCTGAAATCCACTCTAAAAATACAGTCTCTCAGATTTGAAAATCAAATCTGGGAGGTTTACTTCATCAGGCTGTGAATTTGTGTCTTAAATGTGGAGAAGATTTGAAATTTGAAGGTGGGCCTTCCTTACTTTGTAAGGACGGATCCAAGTTTGGTCTTGCTGGAATGATAGGAGGATATGGGGTGAGGGGAACAGCCAGTATGAAAAAAGGGGTAAGAGTTGAGGAGAAAAAGAGGAAAGATGGATAAAAACAAAGAAATCCCTCAGTTGTTCGCCCATTTGGCTGAAGTTAGTCTAGACTTGTGGCATGTACTCCAAATACAAATGGAGATGAATTTTTAACTTTCTGCTGATGTGACCTGTGTAACTCTGTTCATTTCTTTGGGCTCAGTTAATATTAACTGACTCTTGTGTACTACTTTATGCATTATTCGTAGCATTTTAACATTTATTCATTTAATGCTTAGATTAGTAAATACATATCCTCAAGTCCAGGTCTTATAACTCCTAAAACCATTATACTTTCTATTCTGTCATGTTTCCTTCACCTTCAAAAAAGAATTAGGAATAGAGGCTGGGGTTGTGACTCAGTGGCAGAGCTCTTGCCTCATTCGTGTGCAGCACTGGGTTCGATCCTCAGCACCACATAAAAATAAATGAATAAAGGTATTGTGTCCATCTACAACTAAAACTAATTTTTTAAAAAAAGAAATAAGAATGAGTCCAGGATTTATGGCACAAATTCTAGTGTCATCTTCTATCTCAACAACCTCAAAGATAAGCATTTTTGAGCCTCATGTTTAAAATTTCCTTATGGAATTCCAGTACTACTTAAGTTTCCTTGAGTTTAGGCTGCTGAGAGAAATGGTAAGACCTATGATCATCTCTTCTCTCTGGTCAAGGAAGAGTTACTCCCAAACTCCCTCAGATCAGTGCAGAGCCATGAGCTACAGTATTTGTCACTACATACACCTTGACAGACATTTGGATGTCTGCAGTGTTCCTGGCACAGAGCATGTGGGGGCTCCGGAAATTAGAAATAGTACCAGCCTAAAGATTTAGCATCTGGTAAGGGAAATGTGTTTTTGAAGAGGGATAAAAAAGAAGAAACTGGAGAACATGTTACTCCTAGGGGTGGAGCTCATTCTTTCCTATTTATATGTCGTGTACTATTAGGAATAAAAGTCAAATTTTATCTAGGCCACCTGCACAGCAATTTGATAGGAATCTTGATGGGGATCATTTCTCACAGCCAAAGACCTGGTAATTGTGACCTAATAATTATTACTTTTCACTTGTAGTTAGCACTTCTGGCATTAATAGCTGGCAGGTTTTCCAGCAGTGGAAATCATCTCAGTAAGCCTTCTTTGAAATTTAAAGTCTTAATTTCCCTGAATTGAAAACTTTCACACAAAGAAAAATCTAGTCCCAGATGGCTTCACAGTAAGTTCTGTCAATCATTTAAGTAAGACCTAATATCTATCCTACAAAATACTCTTTTAGAAAGAGAGAGTACTTGTTAATTCATTTTATGAGACCAATTTTATTCTAATACTAAGACGAGACAATGCAGTAAGAAAACTAAGACCAATCTCATTGAAGAACTTAGACACAAAAATCTTTAACAAAATAGTAGGTCAATTTTATAGAACATATAAAAGGACAATGGACTATCGTGAAAAAATGCGATTTATCCCAGAAATACAATGAGTTAATATTAAACATTAACTCAATATAATTCATCATTTTAACAAAATAAAAAGAAAATCCATATGATCATGTTAATGAGTATGCATTAATTGTACATCATTCGTAGAAAAACTGAAACTGGAAGTTAATTTCTACAACTTGATAAAAGGACATTTATGAAAAATCAACAACTAATGTTAGATATTTGTTGGAAAAAGACCAAATGGTTCTCTTCTAAGATCAGGAACAAAGCAAAGGCCACTTCTATTCAACATTGTACTGGGGAATCTATAGCAAGAATAAGAAAATTAACACAACATTGACAGGAAAAAATACATAATTTGTCAGGCACAATGGTGCACATCTATAATCCTAGCAACTCAGGAGGCTAAGATAGAAGAATCACAAGTTTCAGGCCAGCCTCAGCTACTTAGCAAGGCCCTAAACAACTAGCGAGACCCTGCCTCAAAAAAATAAATAGGGCTAGGGATGTAGCTCTGTGGCACTCTGCCACTGAACTTTAACCCCAATACTCCAAAGGAAAGAAACAAACACATAATTATCTCTTGGGATGTAGAAAAGACATTTGTTCATGATTAAACCAGGACTAGAAGGATACTTCTTCAACATGATAAAGAGCATTTGTGAAAAAATTACAGTTAACATCATAATGGTAAAAGGCTGAAAGTTTCCCTCCTTAGATCAGGAAGAAGACAAGGATGCTCATTTTTACCATATTGGAAAGGAAGAATCAAAACTCCACAGACAAATTGCTATATATATAGAAAACCCCAAAGATCCACAAGAAAGCTTTTCTAGAGCTAGTAAACAAATTCATCAAAGTCACAGGGTGCAAGACCAATATATAAAATTCAGCTATTTTATACATCAGCAGTTAACAATACAAGAAGGAAATTAAGGTGACAATTCCCTTTCCAATAGCATCAAAAAGAATAGAATATCTAGAGGAAAATTTAGCCAAGGGGTTAAAAGACTTATGTGCTGAAAACTACAAAACATTGCTAAAGAAATTAAAACCTAAATAAATGAAAACCTATCCCACATTCGTATCTCAGAAGACAATGTTATTAAGATGTCAGTACTATCCAAAGCAATCTACAGATTCAATGCAATCTTGCTCAAAACTCCAACAACTCTTCTGAGAGAGTCGGGGGCAGGAAAGCAAAAATTATTTATCAAAATTATATGGCGGAACTGGGGCTGAGGCTCAGTGGTAAAGCACTTGCCTAGCACATGTGAGGCACTGGGTTCAATCCTCAGCATCCCATAAAAATAAATAAAATAAAGGTATTGTGTCCATCTACAACCAGATATATTTATTTATTCATTCATTTATTTATTTATTTATTTAAAATATATATGACATTGAAAGGAAACCCAAGTCACCAAAACAATCTTGAAAAAGAACCTATTGGACAACCTATGCTTACCAACTTAACAATACTACAGTAATTGGGTCAGTGTGATATTGGCATACAAATAGACAAATCATTAGAATAGAATCTAGAGTCCAGAAACAAACCCATATTTCTTTACTTATTTGTGTGTGTGTGTAGGGCGGTTTTGGGGACTCTACCCAGGACCTTGTGCATGCAAGGCAAGCACTCTACCAGCTGAACTATATCCCTAGCCCTGCCCAATTTACTTTTGACAACAGTGTCAGGTCCACTCAATGGGGAAAGAATACTCTCTTCTCTAGCTTGTGCTGGGACAACTGGATTTCCTCATGCAAATGAATGAAATAGGACCACGGCTTCCCACCATTTGCAAAAATTAACTCCAAATGGATGAACAACTTAAATATGAGTTGAAACTCTGAAGAAAACATAGGGGTAAATCTCTATAACCATGGATTTGGCAATGGATTCTTACATATGACACAAAAAGCACAAACAAAAGATAAGCTGGATGTCATCAAAAATATTTTATTGCCAGGCACAGTGATGCACACCTATAATCCCAGTGGCTGAGGAGGCTGAGACGGAGAATTCAAGATCAGCAATTTAGCAAAACCCTGTCTCAAAATAAAACAAAAAGGGCTGGAGATATGGCTCAGTGGTTAAGTGCTCCTGGGTTCAATGCCAATAATAGATAGATAGATAGATAGATAGATAGATAGATAGATAGATAGATGATAGATAGATAGATATTGTATATCAAAGGATATTTTTAAGAAAATTCAAAGACAACCCAAAGAATGGGAAAAAGCATTTGTAAGTCATATATCTAGTAAGGGTTTTATATCTAGAATGTGTAACATAATTTTTAAAAATTTAAATGGAGAAAATACTGAATTATGCCTTTCTCCAAAGAATATATGAAAATAGAGAGTAAACAAATAAAAATGTTGAACATCACCCATTGGTCATCAGGAAAATCAAAACCACAATAAACCAAGTATGGTGGCACACACCTATAATCCCAGCTGGTTGGGGAGGCTGAGGCAAATACAAGGGCAACCTGAGTAACTTAGCAAGACCCTGTCTCAAAGTAAAAAATAAAAAAGGCTCAGGTTGTAGCTCAATGGTAGAAATTTATGCTGAGTGAAATAAGTCATGCACAAAAGAACAAATATTGTATGATTTCACTTTTATGAAATATCTATAACAAGAATACTCAAAGAGACAGAAAGTAAATTAGAGGCTCTAGCATCTAGGGAAAGGGAAAGTGGGGAGTTATTGCTTAATTATTGCAGAGTTTTTGCTTGGGGTGGTGAAAAAGTTTTAGAAATTTATATTGGGGATAAATTGCACAGTGTTGAATTGCTTAATGCCGCTGAATCGTACACTTACAAATGGTTTAAATGGCAAATGTTATATTACACGTATTTTTTAACACACACCCAAGCTACCAAGTGTGGATGAGAATGTGGAACAAATTCTCAGAAACAACTAGTGGGACTATGAAATGGTACAACCACTTCAGAAAACAGTTCGGCAGTTTCTTCTGAAGTTAAATATACCATCTACTCCATGACACAGCAATTCTACACCAAGGTTCTTAACCTCAGAGAGATGGAAACGTGTCCACAAAAAAATGCCCACCCAAATGTCCATAGCAGTTTTTTCCATGATAACCGAAACCTGGAAACACTCCAATGATCATCAGCAATAC